CGGCCCGGCCCCCGCCCAGCAGCCGGCCGAGCGCCAGCGCCGGCCCCTTGCCGCCGGCCTCCTCCCGGTAGGGGTCGCCCTGCGCCGCCGCGCGCGCCGGGCCGGCGGGTCTGAAGGCGGAGCGCGCGCCGGGGTAGAACGCCAGGGCGCCGGCGCCGCCCGCCGAGGAGCCGCCCACGATGCCCAGCAAGGGACCGTGGGCCCGGGCCGCCCCGCCCGCGTCCGGGGCTCGGTCCGGCTGCTCCTTGCTTTTCTTGGGAGTCCCCCACTTGCCCGGGGGCGGCGAGGGGGCCGGGGCCACCAGGGAGGCCTCGCGCTTGATGCTGTCCCGCGCCCCGCAGGCCGGGGCGAGCTGGGCGGCCTGGGCGTGGGGCCGCAGGGCGCCTGCCTGGACCGGCGCCGTCAAGTCCGCAGCGGTGGGCTTCGGGGGGAGGCCGAGGCCTTCTGCCACCGGGGCGGCGCCGGGCCGGGCCGCGTGCTCCTGGTGCAGGAAGGCGCGGCCGCCGCCGCCGCTGAGCACGCAGTGGAAGCGCAGGTGTGCCTTGAGGCTGTTAGGGTACCTGAAAGTCCTCCAGCAGTACCAGCAGATGTAGCGCTCCTCCCCTGGGCGGGAAAGAATGGGAGAGGGACCAGGTGAGAAGCAAGGAGCCAGAAGGAACCAGCCAGCCCAAGTTTTAGCCTGCGTTGTGACAGAAGAGGAGTGAGGGTCTTAGGGCCCAGAGATAAAGTTCGGTAACCCTATCAGGAACCTCCCAAAGCGTGTAAATGGCCAACCCTGGTCACCTCCATTCTCAAAGGCTTAGTCAAAGAGCAAAACAGGTGAGCTGAGCCTTTCCAGTGAGGACTTCCACCAAGCCCTTCTAGTAAATCTTGTTGGGGAGAGGAGTGCTCAGGAAGGATGGCCTGGAAGAGCTGGGAGCAGCTGTTGCCTTAAATCAAGTGTTGAGGCTGCGCTGTGCCTGCGTCCATCTGTTGGCGTCTACAGAATAGGTAGCGTATGTCAAGGAGTTTGGGTAAACCGAACAAAGGCCAATCTAATAGTCATGAGCGCCTCGTTACCAGGCGAGACAATATCCTGTATGTATGGGCCATATGTAATCGTTCCTTTTCATACGACAATGTCTTTTGTGTCCTCTCTCCGCCCTTTTCACCCCCTCCCAGACTTAAACACTTGCGTGAGGTTTTCCTGGAGCGTGACCAAATGAATCCCCACATAAGGATTATGACTTGCTAGTCTTCAAAATTATTTGAATCCTTATTTCCTTCTTTAGCTTCATTTGCTTAGACTGGTGGGGGGGGGGGGAAGCCTGCTTCCTGATATTCTCTAATGGATGATAATATTCGGAGAAGGGTAGTGTGGCAGTTGTCTTATCGGTTGTTTTACCTGGTAGTTAATTAACTCCTAGATAGCTGCACAGATACAAGCTTAGAAAAGCGCTTGGACGAGATGTCTCTTGTTTAATTAATATATAAACATGAGAAAGGCACCCAGCTTGTCAAAAGTGCAGCTTTCTCTACCAGGAGTCGTGTGCGTGTGCGCGCTTGTGGTGTCAATTATTCGTGTCTCTTACACTGTAACTGTTTTTTGTTTGTTTGTTTGTTTGTTTGTTTTTTTACTTTGCTGGGGCCTGTGAACGAAATCCAGGTGTAAGCAGGTGCTAGAAGCTAATTGCTATGTACTGTCGTGCATACAGTGCGGTTTACTTTTTAAAGATGTCTGTGGGAAGGAAGTTGATGGGCCACAAGGAAATCCCAAAGCGCATTGTATATCTCTTAAGATTTCCTGGAAAAGTTTCATCCCCTCAAGCATCCAACTCCCACTCTTAATACATCCCTACAGAGCTAGTCGCGGAGGTGCAGCCTGCAATCCCAGCACTGGGGACTCGAGGCCATCTTGGTCTACAGAGTGAGATCCAGGCCAGACAGGGTTACCTAGCAAGACTGTCTCAAAGAGGAGGAGCAGAGGTCAAAGGAGAGTTGGGAGAAATAGGGAGATAGAGGGGTTAGCCTACAATAGTCTATTCCAGTTTGTATAGTGGTGATGAGACAAGACCATCTCGATATTCCTGCTGCCGGCCTTAAACAGCCACATAAAGCAGCCTTGGGAAGGAGAAAAGCAACCACTTGGTTTCCTGGGAGTGTAGGAAGCTCAGAGGCTGCTTTGCAGCAGCTCTTCAAAAGAGGTTTCAGTCTGTTCCTGAACAACTCTGCCAATGCGGAGCCAAGTGAGCTTTGTTCTTAAAATGAAGGGGCAGTGACTCAGTCTTTCTATGAAATGGAAACTAACTGAAGTTAGCCAGTATTGTAAAAAGAGATAATATCCCTACTTATTTCCTCCTCTTCCCAAAAATTAAGACAAGTGTGTGTGTGTGTGTGTGTGTGTGTGTGTGTGTGTGTGTGTTATTCCTCGAATTGCTTTTCCAGCTTATCTTTATCAACAGGCTCTGCAGACCCTAAGGTCAGCTCTTGCCAAGTGAGCCAAATACTCTTCATAAATGACTTTGCTCCTCCTCCTCATGTCACTTGAAAGAGTTCAGACATGCCCAATCTAGAAATACCAGGTTGAAAAATAGGCTCTACCTTCTGTAACAGGGAAATGATGGATTTTTTTAATTACCAGTTGCCAAATGACATTTATAAAAAAAAAAAAAAAAAAAAAAACAGTTGCCTGAAATAAAATACATGATTAAACAGGTTGCCTTTCTCTATTTGTTCATCCCTACAGAAAAGCGTTCTGTGTAGATGTGGCTGTCACAGTTTGTTGTAGAGTGTCAAGTCTGAGAGCTCTCTGTGTGGCTGCTGCACTTCTTGTTGACAATAGGATCTGATAATGTGGTTCAAGGAACAAACTATATTAGGATAATTCTTACGTGTTGGACATACAAATCTATTTTAAAACAAACAGGATTGATTTACAGAGGACAGTGACACTTTGAAGTGAAATGATTCATTGCTCTGAATAATCTGTCCAGCTCATGAAGTGTTTCCTAATTACCACACTTTTATCAATATATATCTGTTTCTAAATGGGTTCAGTGGAGCAGCAGTTCCGGAGGGGATTATATTAAAGTACACTTTATTTAAAGAACACTTTATTGTTGTCTATAAATAAATAGCTTCTTGGGAGAAATTAAGAACAAGCCAAAACAATTGGCAAGGGGGGAAAGAAGGCCAGGGGAAGCCTTCTGAAGGATGAGAATGGATTCTCAAGATCTTAACCATTTTAGCACCTCCTAGCCTTCTTCCCACAGAAAATGTCCTTCAGTGCTTGTGGAGGGTTTGAAAATATTTTGCTTTTTGTTTTTGTTTTTACTTTAGTTGCTACATCTTAGTTTGCATGAAATGACTTGGCTTAGAAGGAATCAAACAAATCTGAGAAGAAACTGGGATACATCCTAGATTCAATTTAAGTAGACTTAGTAGTGGGAAATGAGTGAATGCCATTTTAAGGAAGGACATTAGTACTTGCCAATGGACCAGCTGTAAGTACCATAATTCTATACTCTCCTGAAAAACTAACAGAAAGAGCACCCTTGTGCCTTTTTAAAAAGTGTTCTAGGTTTAAGGTTTGGTCTCTAGAACTCAAGATGTAGTTGTTGTAGCATATTAAGTCTCCTTTATTGGCTCTTAACTGAGTAAATATTTGTCATTCAGAATATGAAATGGAAAGGAAGAACTCGTGAGTTCATAAGGGGTATTCTGGCGTTGGGGACCAGGTTTGTTACTATTTGTTAATGGTTTTTAAGGCAGCAGCTTCCTCTCTGCCTGTGTAAGGAGCATGAATTCAGCTTCCACAGAGCTGAAGGAAAGGTTGTTCAGGTCTGGGATCACCTCCCACACCCCGCACTGGACACGAATCTCATGCACCCTCGCTGCTGGGGAGACCTTCCCGGAGGCAGTACCTTTCTCGTCGTGAGTTGGAGTCGCAGTCGTGGGGATGTCGAACCACTGAGCCAGCGAGTTAGAATACCACACGGTCAGCTCCTCCCCTGGCTGGACATCGCGCAATGCCCGGTAGAAGATCTGGGATAAATAAAAATTAAAAATAAAAATAAAAAATAACAGTGATAATAAGGTTCTCTGTCATTTCCCGAGTGGGTGAGAATAGAGGTTTAGAGGCTGACACTGTGGTCCCGGAGAAGCTACTGGATAGCTTGAAACTCATCCTTTACCCTTCTTCCTTACGGGGACGTTGGGACCCCTCGCCTTCTGAAAGTCCTTTGCTCATGAAATGCCCGGCTGCCTGGGGGGGCCATTAGCGGATGGAATTGGAGTTGACAATGATGAGGGGCACTGACAGTACCTGTCCTCCTGGTAAGTCTGCAATAGCTTCCAGAGTCTGTTCCTGGGGGTTCCTGGCTGCCCGGATTAACCCTATCCACTCCAGAGGGGCGCCCCCTGACTCGTCCACCAGCTCCCCTCTCACCATGCGTACCTGCAACACAAGCAGTGGTCATTGCCTCACCCCTCGCAACCCAGAGGAAAGTTTAGCCTCCACCCACCAGCTCAGCAAAGTGTCCCTGGCCCAGCCTCTGTGAGCGTCCGGGACAATAATTCCTTAGAGTGGGGGGAAAACTGAGGGAGGCCGAGTAGGAGACGGTGCCAGCACCACGCGCCTCGCAAACACTGGCTGGGAGCGGCATCCTCTCGGAGCACCTAGATGCCTCTCGATGCAGAACTCCCCACCTCTTCCCCAAGTGCGGCTCCGGGATAGAAGTGGCTCCAAGTTCTAGCCCGTCCCGAAGCCTAGTGCAGCACCCCTACCCTGTTCCTCAGCTTCCCAGTTCTCTGGAAGTGCACGAAGAAGCAAGTGAACTCAGACAAAGCGAGCACGGAGAAATTTCGCCTGCGGCTAGCAGGCTGTTTAAAGGCCATTAAATTACGTTTAAAGAGAGGCACGGGGCGCCGCAGAGCTGGGTGTAGACCCGAATGAGAGACGAGGGGTCCATGGGGGAAGGTGCCGACCCTGCTCCTCCGACAGGAAAAACACGTCTTACAAGAAAGCACTAGGCAGTTGCTAAAACCAAGGTCTTTCCTTTTTAAACGGGCTTTTGGCTTCATATCCTGATTGCTACCGGCCAGTCCTTGGCTGCCGAGGCGTTCCCCACCCTCTGCGTGCAGAGGGTCTTTAAAGCCTCTGTGTGCAACGGTCTTTTTTTCCTCAGGACCCTGTGCGTGTGTTTGAAGGTGGAGGTCAGAGGTGGAGAGCTGTACCTAGCGCCTCGAGGCTGGGGTCTCGGACTCTCAGGGCCAGCTCAGAGTCCCAGCCGGCATCCTCCTCTCCATTTCCTACCCAAACCTCTAAGCAAACTGGGGTGGGGGGTTATGTTTCAAGAACTAAGCGCCTCGCAAGAGCTATCTCTCCGGTGAGATGGGATTAAATTGTTTAAAACAAAATTTTAGCCTCATATTAGTAAGCAGAAGGGGAGAGAAGTCCTCCCCGCCAGATGCCTTGAGGGTGCACGGGAGGCAAGGACCGCGGCGGGAGCCTCCACCGCCGCGCTGAGGGCACCGCAGAGCGCTCCCGGAGGCCCCCAGACCTGCGACTCGGCGCGCAGGCTCCGGCCCCGCTCGGCTCCGGCCCCTCAGCCCGCCCCGGGTCCAGCTCAGTGAGGACACGTGCGAAGGATGACCGGCTAAGCCTACTCTGCGGCTAGGCGGGTACCCTTCTCTCCGCCGCTGCTCTCCTCGGGGTCAGGGCAAGAGGTGGACGGCAAGGGGCGGGGACCCGGGGGCCCGGAGTGGCCCAGTACCTTTTTCTTGGGCCCTGGCTCCCTGCGATCTGACAGGTACTTGCCCAGCTTGAAGGTGCCGGGCACGGGCCCCAGGCGCAGGCCAGCCGGGATGCAGCAGTCTGCGTTCACGCTGGTGGCCAGAGTGCGGGAAGTTGTGTGCATCGTTGCCGCCGCCGCCAGGCAGGCGCTGGGGCTCGCGGGTCGCCCCCGGGGCGCGGTGGCAGAGCACCCCGACGTGCGTCTTCCGCCCGCAGAGTGGCGCGGGCGGGCAGGCACCGCGCCTTTTCAATCCGGGCGGGCGCCTTTTGGCACCGCGAGCGCGAGGGCGCGGAGTCTGGTGAGAGAGTTGCGCTGCGAAGCAGCTGCGGAGTCCCACCCGAGAGGGTCACATGGAGTGGTTCCCTCAGCCCCCTGCATAATCGAGGCCTCTGAATGGCCAGCGCACAATGGTCCAGGCGACCTTCCCATTCCTAAAAATCCAATTTGTCAAGGGCGAAGAAAAGGCGCTGGTGAATCAAAGGTCCGGCGGGACCATTAATCCTCAGCATGGGGGATTGTCCCCGAGACAGTTACGATATTTTAAGTGACAAATCCACTGTATAATTTCTCCATAAATTTTACTTCCTTTTATTGTTCCCCGACAAACCAGTTTTGGGAAATAAGTGACTACTTTAAGTCTACTCGGCTGATTCCTTTGAGCCTTGGTCTACTTCAAAGATTCTTAATTCTCTCCCCTTGGCTTTATTGTAAAGGAGACTAAACAAAGGGCCGGGGACTGTTTGGAGGACTTGTTAACTTCTATTGATTTCTGGCGTGTGCCATACAGAAATTAGGCAGGTACTTGATGGGAAAACACCAGAAAATACCTACACTTTTAAAATAACGACCATAGTACCGTTTCGGAGACTGGGTTCAGGCCAGTCCTCCGTTGAGAACCAGTTGCTCCCTCTGCCCCTATTTGCCCCAAATATGAAACTACCGGGCCGGTTCGAGGGGAGGCCGGCCAGCTCGGCATCACCTCTCCCGGGCGCGCAGGGCGCACACTCTCCCTAGCTTCGTAGATCTGCTCTGTGCGTCAAGCTCAGCCAGGAAGAGGGGTGAGTTCCGCGGGCTTTATCCACCCCGTCTCCCCCACGGGCAACTCTTCCATTCAGACCTTGGTTTTGCCTTTAAGTTTAAAACGAGGAGAAAGTCCTGACACTGCTCCAGAGTCAAAAGGCTGGGGTTCTGCTTGTTTTTAAAGCGAACAAACAACAACAAAAACATCACAGTCTCTCCACGGCGAAAGGAAAGCCAAGAGCGGGCATTTAGGCCAACGCTGGGGGCCTTCCTTCAAACCACACGCTGGCATCACCAGAGCCACCAGGAAACTCCTGCAGGGGCTCCGGGGAGGCTGCTCGCTCCTTCCTCAGTCCCACCCCACCCCATCCAGCCTCACAGAAGGTAGAACGAGGACCCGGAGCAGCGCGCTCACTGGTTCCTCCCTGTGGCCCTAACTGAGAAGACGCAGCCCTGCCGCCTGGGTCTCTGGTTGGGAAAGCCCTCAGAGTAGCTTGCTAAGCTGCCCTCTGTTGGAAATTTGTGTTCACAACCCTAGGCAGGACCAGAAAACTAACTCAAGACCCAAGGCACCTTTCCTGAATTGCTTGGGACCTCGCTCTCCAGATCTGTAAAGTGGGAAGGATTGCTCCCTTTCCGCCAGGAAGCCCAGTCCGTTGGGAAAGCGCCCAGCAGTGGCCTTATGAAAGGCACAATAGCCGTTGTCTGCAGCAACCGGGAAAGCCAGGCCAGGTCAAAGGTCTCAGGTCTAAGCAAATCGAGACGAGAGCAGAGACCACGCTCGGAGGCAAAGCAGCCGCTCCCGGGGTCCGCTCCACGGCCCATGAGGGGATACCTGCTCGGGCCACCTCTTGGTGGACCTTGGCAGTCCTGTCTATGTGACTGCGCAGCGCCTGGCCCGGAGCTGTTTTCTAAATTTCACGCTCAGCCTTCCAATTGCTTCTCTGAGGGTAAAGAAGGCCATCCTCCAGAGATAGGAGAAAGCCTTTGATCCCACGGCCTATGAAAGGCAAAGCCGGGGGAGGGGCGGGAGGGGGCCGAGGAAGCCTCTCCGATGAGTCCAGGGCAATAAATTTAAGCCATGAACATGTCCCTCTAACCTCTGGCCTGGCGACTCCGGATGACACCTAGTTTAACTAACTAGCACCGAGAGCGAGGAAGGGGCGAGCGCAGGGCCTGGGTTCGGGGCGCCTCCCTAGCCCTTCCTAACCAGTGAAAAAGCGTGAACGACACGCGAACAGTTTTATCAATAGGACCGTGTAAAGGCCGACTGTGAGGAAAGTTATTTATTAATATAGCCAATTGTGACTGGTTCCCAGCTCCGCGAGAAGAAAGAGCTGCGCCAGAGGCATTCACACCAGCTCCCGAGTTTTATTCTGTCCTGTGGCTCAGAGTTGCAGTTCCCCAAGTGAAATAAATTGTCCACAAAGGAGAAAAGGAACACATTTTCTTTTATTTTTCCTCCCCTAAAAAGCAAGGGTGAAACCAATCTAATGTGCCCAGTGGAGCAAGATGGGCCGTGAAAGGCTGGGTGTTAAAAGTAAAAGCGGGCTGTGCAGCAAATGGGATGGAAAATTAAATGAAATTAAATAGCTTGAACGGCCGTATTGTCCCTTATTAAAAAGACACATTAATTACATGGTCTCAGCCTTATTCAAAGACAATGTTGAGACTCAATCAAAACATTCCACACGGCTTTTTTTTTTTTTTTTTTTTTTTTTTTATCGACTTAAAATGGGCGTCCAGAGGCCCTGCTGGAGCGAAATCCCTCCTACGCGGGAGGTGCCGGGCGCGCTCGGTCTGGGGCGGTCCCGCGGCGGTAACAGGTTGCCCGGGGCGGACGCCCGCTCGGGCCGGGCCTCCGCGGGCGGGAAGGGCGAGCCGCGGGGTCCCCGCAGCCCCCGGCCTCTCCGGGCGCGCCCGGGCCCGGCCGCGCGGCGCACGCGAGCCGCCGGGCTCCGCCGGGAAGGGGAGGGCCCTCCCGCCCAGGCCTTCGGGGCCGAGCCGCGCGGTCCCGGGGCTTCGGGTCTCGGTGCCCGCGTCCCCCGGGAGGCTGAGCTGGCTGCCCCGCGTGCGCCCGGGAGCCAGCGCCGAGCGGCGTCCCCAGCGGAGGCCGGAGCCCCGGAGGCTGCAGGCCGGAGCCGAGGCCGGAGCCCCGGAGGCTGCAGGCCGGAGCCCGGCCTGGGCGGCGCCGGCCCGGGAAGCGCCCCCCTGCGGGAGCCGGTGGCGGCCGGGTCACAGCCGACCAGCTGCTCTGCCCCCGAGGCGCGGGTGGGACATTAAGGCCGGCTCTGAATACACAAGCCGAGACAGGCTCTGGGAACGCCACCAGATGACGCGCCCGCGTCGGGGCCTTTTCTCCCCTGAATGCGTGGATGGTGGGTGCGCGGCGGCTGGGCGTCTCCGAGCCTGCAGCCAAGGACCCGGCCCCTGCACCGCGGCTGCGGTTCGTGCTGCCTTTTGTTTGGTTTGGTTCGGTTTGGTCTTTTCTTTTTCTTTTTCTTTCTTTCTTTTTTAAGTCTAGCATTGGAAACGACTCAATAAAAGTATTCAGAGTCCCTTCTCAAGTTGCCTTTTAACCGGAGTTCCCCAACTTATTTCTTGGTTCTTTCGGTTGACATGGTGCAAAGAAAAAGTCAGCGAGCGTGCTGCTGAATTGCAATGTCTTGGGGCACCGCCACATTCACGCTTCTCTGCCGGCCTCTGCCTGAGGAGCCCGCGCTCAATTCGATTTTCCTTGCTATTGGGCACATTTAGGAGAGCCTCTATTTGTGAAGTTCATTTCTAGGCAAATGTATTCAAGAGCTGATGGGGATGAATAGGACCGTGTGTCAGCCGCCCCTAATTGGGATTAAAGCACTTAGGAGCATATGCAGCGACTGACAGAAATTCTCAGGTTGCATTGTCTTCAGACTTCCACCCGCTCGGACGCTCCTCCTCCGAGGGAGATTTATAAAGACTGCGGGGAGAAACTGAGGAAAGAAAGAGGAAAGGCAAAGAGCCAAGCTAATAGCTCAGGGCTGGGCTGCAGCTCAGCTAGTGGAGGTGGTGGCTTCGCAGAAAAGAGACTGGAGATAATTGAGCGCCGGCCGGGCGGGGGAGCAGGTCCGAACTCTGAAAGGCTGAGAGTTAAAAGGCGAAATAAAGATGTTCTTGAGGCTCCCGAACGCCCCCTTCCTCTTTTCTTTCTCCCGAAGAACCTGCCTTTATTTCTCTTTATCTCTGCTGCCATTCTGCACCCCCAAAGCACATACCCTTTCTTGAAGAAATAATACACAAGTTGATACTTGAATGGGAGAGGAAAGAGTCATATAGGAAACAAAAATAACTATTGAATGTTGAAAAGGGTCGTGCTCAGATTACGCTGGCAAAGTTTCCTGGTGAATGGGTTAAATTTACGCACAGTGTGTCGAAGAGACACAAGCACGGTGAGCGGTCGCACATACAAATCGGGGTTCTGAATACATTGCTGCAAATTTACTGTCTACCTGTAAATCTCAACCGAGAAGTGCCCACTGAGGTTTGGGGCTGAGGTGACAAAACCCTTTAAAAGCTGGGAACCGGCTCGGAACTGAAGCTGAGAGAAATTTCTAAACAGTGAGTGATGGCAGCCTCCTTAAGCCTCTGAGCAGCAGAGACGCCTAAAAGATAAGCTAAACACTGAAGAAGAGTAAAGATTTCCGGAGTTACCCGGATTTTCTTCATTTCTGAGTTGTTTGGCTTCACCTGGACAGTGAGATGCAGGGTTGGAGCGCAGGACAAGAGGCTTCTCACCACGTCTTTTTGGGTGTAAGATGGAAAGAAAAGCAAGGTGAGGCTCTGGAGAAAACAATAACCAATAGCTTTTATGATAAACTCCTATTCAGGACTTGACCCCCAAGCTGATTCCAGGGACCTCATCAACCACACAAAACCCCCGAATTCCGGAGCCCAGAAGTGGCCGTTGAACTGGGAAGCTGTGCTCTCCCACTCTGATGGGGATTCTGGACAAGAGATGACCGCGTGACCCAGGAACAAGCTCCCGGGAGTGAGCGCACAGTTTCCCTTTTCAATTCCCCAGCAGAGCTAAAAAGTTCCTTTTCCCCAGGAGAGCCCACCTCATAGTTACATCGTGCAAGTCTGTGTTCTATAGAAAG